ATTAAATTTGACACCAGTTTTTCAGAGGCCAGTCCACCTCTGCCAGACAGACTGGCAGCAGCTTGTCTTTTCCACTGACCAACTTCAGTGTTTGCCTCGTTCTTTCTGCAAGGTTCATCCATACCAGGCTGGGGTAGGAAAAGCCGCTGGTGGCCAAGAATGTAGCCTGCCTGGATGGAGGGACAGCCCTGCAGGCTGGGGTGGGGGCTGTGCTGGCTTCCTGTAATGGTTATCAGGTGTGTTCTGGAGCCGGCTGGCAAGATAAGAAGTTTTCCAGGAAGTCATTGTAAATGGAGAACTCCCTGCGGTCTGCCTGCTGACCTGTGCTCCCCTGCTGGGGAAGGGGAGGGGAACATACGGATGCGGGGGATCCAGCGGCGCCTTGCAGGATCAGCCAGGCAACGGTGTCAGGCACGGCCAGGCAAACCCCTGTGTGCCCTGTCCTTCCTGACAGGGATTCACTGCACCAGAGGCTGTTCAGGAGTTCTTCTGCAGGTGCCTGCTGCTGCATCATCCATGCGCTTCTTTTTGTTTTGCAGTCCTGCCCAGTGCTCCGTCCTGTTGCCTATCTGTGGGTTTTCATTAAGGCCAGCAGCAATCCTGTTGTTTGTGTCCCATTTCGGTGACAGGGAAGCCATGTGGCACTAAGCTCAGTGCTTCTGCTAGCTGTGTCCCAGGCTTGGTCTCCTCCCAAAGTCACCACTTCACAAACAGAGACAAAGGGAGAATGAAGAGGAGATGGAGTACCATGAGTCAGAGTTCAGCTGTATGGGTGCTGATCCAGGTTTGGCTTGGAGCTGCTCTATCCTGACCTAGCTTAGAAAAGCCTGGCTTGGTGAGGGAGAGCAAACAGTTTTGCTGGGTTCTGGCTGGTTCCCTGTGTATTGGGAGCTGCAGCACTCCTGGTCTTGAACTCCAGGCTTTCCCCAGCTGCTTGCAGTTGGGCAATAAAGCCACGAGCGCACTGTGCTGCCTGCTGGCTTCTCTTTGGAAGATAAGAGATGCCCTAGGTCTTCCTGTGACGTGGATGTGAGATTAGATTGTGGTGTTCTTGTATCCAGGCAGCTGGGACTTATCAGCAGCAGGTCTTCTCTGCCAGCAGCAAGCTGTGCCTCGTATTTCTGTGGGGGTGCTGAGGAGTGGGGACATAGGTGCTGCCTTACCTCCTGTCTGATGTGAAGCTTGGTGGGTTATAGGTGGACAGCAAGCAACACTGCAGTGAGAATCACTGCATGAGGTCCCAGCTAAGCAGTAAGAATGTACTGAATTGCCTTGTGGCAAGCCAAAGAATGACTCAGAACACCTTTCCTTTCTTGCAAGATCTCCAAACAGCCATCAGTGCTTGGGCAAAGCACTAATGCTCCAGCACAGGCTGGTCTGTCTGTGCTGGGGGACTCAGTGAGCCATCTCTCAAGTGACTTTGGCTGCTCCGTCAAGACCACAAAGGCAGAGAACTTCAACTGAGGCTGCCTGTTGTTCCCTGACCATACCTGAAATCACAGCTTCCTGCTGGTACCCCAGGACTGACATCAGATGGGAGCATGGCATGGTGGGATGGCTCAGCTGCAGTCTCTTGAAACTGCTGCCCCCATTTTGACACAGCCGAGCAGCTGTGCATGGAGCCAGCAGTAATTCCTGCAGTCAGACTGAGAGATGTCTGTGCCTGCACTGCTGTGCAGGTGTCTCCTAGCTGCCATCTCTACCTTTCTCATACATCTCAATGGCCGTGCTGAAATCACTGCAGTAGATCTTCCCTGTGTGAGAACTGGAGCAATGAACTCTGTGGCTGTGCAGAATCTGATTCAAACCTTGTGCTGTTGTTCTTAGCACACAACTTCAGCCTGAACTGCAGGAAGCCTAAAGGTAGTCCAGCTGCAGGCTGAGGCAGTGGAACATATGCTAATAAAATAGGAGAACTTGTGCTAATGCAACAAGTACATATGGCTTTTGCAGAAAAAGAGGAAAAGAGCTGCTGCCGAGCCAAGAGGAGACCTCAGTGGCTGCTTCAGTTGTTCATTCTGAGCTGCTACCTTCTGTAGAAAACTGCAACAAAGCATCTTCCATAATGCGCTCAAAGAAAGCTGCTTGGCTTACCACACTCCAGCAGTGCTGAGGTGGTTTGGTACACTGCATGCTTGCTCTGTCCCCAGCAGCATCAGTGCTCTGGAGAGTCCGTGGCATGACTCACAAGCAGCACACTGTGTTGCAGTCTGCAGATGTTCTGTGCTACCTTGGGAAGCGAGAATTGAGGTAGACAGCAAGAGCAGAGCATCCCTGGAGATAGATTGTGGCTCCCATGCCCTGTGGTCTTGCAGTACAACTAGAGAGAGCCTCCCAGAAAGCTGACATGGGTGTCCAGCTTGATCTTGCCTACCTCACTGGGGCTGCCAGCACTGCTCTTTGGACTGTGCATTGTGCCACTGAGCAGTGTCTGAATTGCCCTAGGTGAGCTGGCTGACCTCGTATTTCCCATTGGGTGCCTTTGCTTGGTTGTGCATTGAAGCTGGCCTAAGGTCTTTGAAAAGGCATGGTGTGGACTGTATCTTGCTGCACTGCATTTGGGGTGGCCTTTGCCTGCCCAGGCTCCTTGATCTGTTTGTTTTCTAACACATTCTGGGGCAGACTCACATGAGACAGCATCGCTGTGAACTCTGCACTGGGCTCTCCAGGGGATGCCAGCCCGTTTGCTGTGGGGCAGCCCATGGGTCTGGTTTGTTGCACGGAGCTGGCGCCAGCGCACTTGCATTCAGGAGCAGCTGTAGCATCCCATCTCCAGCCTGCTCTTAAGAACCCCTCGGAGGGTTCCAGGCAGGCTGAGTTCAGTCCTGGACTTGCTCAGCCCTTGGGGAGCCTAAAGAACTGCAATTGCTATGCAAGTGTTTTGACACTGCTTGATGAGCTTTGTTTGGCTTCTGCAGCCCATCTCCGGAGGAGGGCATGGGCGATGAATTCGACCTGATGGATCACTCAGATCTCTACATCCTCGACTTCAGTACGTGAGTGCTCCCTGCACGGTGTGTGCCTTTTGCCACCAGGTGCCTCGTTGAGAAGCACCGTTTCCTGTGGCGTTGATTGCCTGATGCCCTGATCCCCCATAGTGCCCAGATGAGGACTGCTGTGGCTAATCGCCCTCTATCCACAGGCCCTAGCCTAAAGACGTTGTGTAAGCTAGCAGTGATCCAGTACAGCCTGGACCAGTCCTGCCTTCCCCACGACATCAGGTACTGTAGGCCTTGCATTGGAGCTCACCTATGCGTGCTCCCTGGGGCGCTCCAGCCTTGGTTGCTGGACTCATGCTTCTTCTAATCGTGCCCTGTTGTTGTGTTACAGATGGGAGCTCTCGGCCATGACAACGAACAGCACCATCAGCCGCCCCATCGTCTCCTCGCAGGGCTGATGCTGGCTCAGCCTTCTATCACCCTGTACTCACCCCTCCACACACTGACCTCTTGCTCCACTGCCTGCATGAATTTTTAGCCCTTTCAAGCAAGGAACCTATGTGAGCTCCGTTTGTCTTGCCCCAGCCAGGCCTCCTTGGGCCCTTGTTGCATTCAGGGCAGCATGGGTGTGCAGGCAGAGCGTGCCCCTGGGGAAGAAATCTGCGTGCCCCAGCAGCACAGCGGTGAACCCCCATCCTCGCCTGAAGAGCTGCAGCCGCACTGGCCTGGTGCCCTGCCAGTAAGGGCCTGAATTGACTCCTGCCACCAGCCCCAGGCTCGGAACTATTCCTGTGCTGCCTTGTAATCATGATGACGTTTGTGCCTGCACCCAGTGGTGCTGAGCTGCCCCCAGCACTTGCTTGCAGGCCCAGGGTGGAGCTGAGCCCCTGCACACAACGTGGGGGCTCTGCTGCCTGGCTCAGGTTGTAACACAGTGACCAGTGGGCGTTTTATAAACACTGAGGTGGAAGTCGCTTTTTTGCTGCTCTGTGTGTCCAAGTCTGGGCAGCTATGCTGGGTGGGAGGTATGGGAGGAGAGGACAGTGGCTGAGCCAGCTGCAACCTCTCCATGCTTGGTGGGAGCTGGGGCCAGCAGGAAGAGTTGGCCTGAGCCACAACGTAGCTGCATCCCAGGAGAGTGACAGAAGGGTGAATGGGAGGCAGCTGGTGAGCATCACCCAGGCCCTGCTGCCTCAAGGTGGGTGGGTGCAGGGGTGAAATTGTGCTAACAATGCAGGGAAAGGTAGGAGGGAACTGTGGGCTTTTACTGGGATGCAGAAATCAGGGACAGCTGACAGATGGTGATGGCTGTGTGCCATGAAATGCTGGAGCTTTTTGCTGCAGCATCCCCTTCCTCAGCACTGAAGCACCAAGCTTACTCTCCCTGTGGGGTGCTGGGCACCAGGAAACGTGCACAGACCGCCCCGACTTGCTGCATCAGTCAGCACAATGCTGAGCACAGAAATACCCCAAAATGCTCTTGTCTCTGTGAATGGCTTCTCCAAGGAGAATAACAAGCCTGGGGACACTGAGCAGAGGCTGGAGGGGCTCAGTGTCCTGTGCCGGCTTCCTCTTAGAGGAAGCATTTGGTGGGGAGAAGAAAAGGGCCTTGCTGGGGAGGGGAGGGAGTTTTTAGCACTTTCTCCAAAGGGCCCTGCACACACTGCAAGCTTGCATCCCATGGTAGGAACGAGTGCTGGGCTGCCAGCTGTGGGCCAGGAGCCGGATGGACACATGCCCTCCAGTGGGATCCCTGCTCCCTTCGTCATCACCCCCTCCTGAGCCACCGAGTTTGCTTTAAAGACCCCAGCTTCCTTTTATTGCTTCCCCTCTCAGATTGCAGCCGGCTGTGAGGGCTATTTTTAGCAGCCTGCCTCCTAAAAATAGCCCCAAGATGTTTGGAGTTGCGTCAGGAGGGGAACCTCTCCTCCACACGCCAGCTTGGCCCCTGCAGGCTACAAAAGGAGGCCAGGAGCAGCGGGGTCAGCAGGTTCAGACGCAGCCAGAGGCAAAGGCAGCAAGAAGCGCGCTGCCAGCTCCAGGCATCCCAGCGCCGGCACCATGACCATCTTCTGCAGCCACTGCCACAGGCCGCTGCAGGCAGAGACGAGCTGCCTGCCCAGGAGGGCTGAGCAGGCGCACGGTGCCTCCAAGCCGTTGAGGTGAGCCCCCCTCCGCCCCTTACCTGCAAGGGGAGGCTGCGAGCGGCTCCTGGCCAAGGTGAGACCCAGCCAGGTGCAAGGGGTTTCTGCCACCCAGGGATGCTGAGGCAAAGGATCTTGGAGGGGGCAGAGAGATTTTGGGAGGCTTGAATGAAGGCAGGTGCAACTTGCAGATAAATGGGCTGCAGTTCATGATCTGGCACTGGATGCGGTTTCTGCCCTAGCGGGGCTTGGTGGGGAGGTCATATCACTCAGCTAGCTCCTAAAGCACGGGGCTGCAAGCACCAGCAGTGTCTCCTGCTAGGCAGCCACACGCACCTCTGTCTGCATCCACCAAAGGATTGCTATTCCTCAGAGACCTTGCGTGGGGCACCGAACTGCCCCGGGGCCCAGTGTTCCCATAGCAGGAGATGGGGAACGCTGTCCCTTTCCCTGGGCAGGACTCCCTAAACAGTTGGCTTTGCAGGTCAACCAAGAGTGCCTCCAAGGCACGCCGGGACCAGATCAATGCGGAGCTGCAAGCACTGCGCTCTCTGCTGCCCATCTCCACGCAGGAGAAGGAGCGGCTCTCCTACCTCCACACCATGGCCCTGGTGTGCCTCCAGCTTCGGGGAGCTCACCTCTTCCCTCCAGGTACCCATGGCACTACTGTTCCTTTTTCATGGGCGCAGCTCTGCTCTGCATGCTGCTCCCGTCCCCTTTCAAAACAGTTTTTCACACTGTGCTCCCCCTGCAGCCTCAGCTCCTCCCTCAGGACCGGTCCTTGCTGCGGAGCTGCTCTCCTTGCTGCCAGGGTTTCTGCTTGTGCTCTCAGCCGGTGGCAAGCTGGTCTACATCTCTGAGAACGTGTCTCAGATCCTGGGTCTCTCTATGGTAAGGGCTGGCCAATGTGGATTTGCAGTCACTGTTTCCCTATGCCCATTGTGCATGGCACACTGTCCTCATGAGAGGCTCTTGCACAGTGTTGGAGGGTTATGGTGTTGCAGTGTGCCAGCACACTGCCTGCTGGGGCCTGCCATGACAGCTCCTTCTATCAGGTGGAGCTTCTTGCCCACGGGGACACCATCTTCGACATCATGGATGGGCGAGCATGGGAGGACGTGCACAAGAAGCTTCTCCTTGCCCAGGAGCAGCCAGGCAGGGGTAAGGCTGGGGAGAACGAAAGCGCAGTGTGCTCACTGAGGTCTCCAGGCTGGGATCTCATAGGTGCTGCCCTGCTGAGTCTCCATGGCTGAGGTCAGACCCAGCAGGTTGCCAGCGAGGGCGCTGAGGAGTCTCTAATCTGCTCTCTGCAGAAATCACCTTTGTCAGTGAGATGCGCACATCCAAGGCCTTCCGGCTGCAGCACGGGGGAAATCAGGCTGTGGCAGTATGTGGGCGCTTTGTGGTCCCACGCTGGCCGGCCTCCCCCTCCACCACAGCCTTCCTGGCCCTCTGCACCCCGGTTGCACAGCTGGATGCAGATCATGACGCTGATTCTCAGGACAACCTGTTTCAGAGCACACATGCCCTAGACATGAGGTTTATGGATGTCACAGAGAGGTGAGAGTGCCAGCCAGCTGTCCAGAACAACCAGGATCATCTCCCTTCACAACGTCTGGGTCTGGGATGCAGGCTGGACCCACTCCTCTTGTCCTCCCCAGTGCCATCTACCACCTCGGCTACCTCAGGGAGGAACTGATTGGCCAGTCATGGTACAGCCTCCTGCATCCTGAAGATGCTGATGTAGCAGCCGCTCAGCACAGGGCTGTGGGTGAGTATTATGCCCACACTCACACGTATCTTCCTCTAATGCTGTTTGGCTGCACTTGAAACCTGGCTGCCTAGGATAGCCAAAACAAAGTGAACAGAGTCCCGCTCCCTGTAAAAAGCATGAAACAGTAGGCTAGTTTTACGCCCCAAACACCGACCGCGTGGGTTTGCCTCGAGCCCTGCCCTGCGAGGCTGCAGACCTGACTGCCGTCTGCAGCTTCCGACTCGCTGGGGCTGTGGCCGCAGCGGGGCCACCGAGGCCCGCCCCGGCAGCGAGGCCAGCTGCGCCCCGCCACCCTCTGACCCTGCCGCTTCCCCGCAGCGCTGGGTGCCGGGGCCGCGCCGGGGCCCGTCGTGCTGCGCGTGCTCCGCAGGGACCGCACCTGGGCCTGGCTCCGCGTGTCAGCGCGGCGCGGGGGCCGCTGCATCACCTGCACCGGCCGCAGCCTCAGGTGAGGGTTCGGGGAGGGAGGAGGCCGGGGGGACGCGGGGGCCGAGCCCGACGGCCGCCATCGGCTCCCGGTCCCCGCGCGCCGCCCCTCACAGCTGCGTTCCGCTACGCAGGGAGGAGGAGGCGCTCTACTTGCGCGCCCGGCAGCGCGGCCCGCCGCCGCTCTACACAGCCCCAGCGCCGCCGCCTGCCGCCTCCTCGCCGGAAGAGGGGCTCGGTCTGCTGGCCGCACAGCTCCGCGCCCTGGCCGACAGCCTCTCGCCGCCCGCCGCCTATACCAGGACGGAGGCCTGCTCTTACGGCCGGCCGCAGCCGGACGCCGCCCTGGCGCTAGCCCGTCTCCTAGGCGACGCGCTGGAAGCTTCCGGGTCGCACACGACGCATGCGCATGGCGCGCCGCTTCTCCACCAATAAACGCCCGTTTTGCCTTCCTTTCTATCCGACTGCGCGTGCGCTGCTTCCGCGGGTTCTCCGCTGGCGGGGCGGGCGGCCATGAGGCGGGCGGTCGTGAGACGGCCGGGAGCCGCGGCGGGGTGCCGCGTGGGGAGCGGCGGCGGGGCGGGCGGGGAGGAGGAGACGGGCCCAGAGCTGGGAGGTGAGGAGAGGCGAGGCGCTGCGACCGGCCGGAAGAAGCTGTGCTGCGGGAATGGCGTCCGTACGGAGCGGGGCTCCGACAGGGGCGGTGGTTGGGGCTCCCGGGGCTGCGGCTGTACCCGGGCTGCTGGGCGGAGGGAGGGGAGCCTTTTCCGGAGCGAGGGTCCGCGGGGTTTAACGAGGCGGAGCGGTTTCCTTCTGCGGGACGGGCGCGAAGGGGCGGCAGCGCTGTTTGTGCCGCTTGTCTCCTGCTCGGGGCCGCACAGTGCCTCGGGGCAGCCGTGAGAAGCTGCTTCGCTCAGCTGTGCGTCGCTCTCCTCCAGATGAGGCTGACCTGTCGTTGGAAGAACGGCTGCGGATGCAGAACGCGGCCGGAACGAGAGCGTGCCGGCATCTGAGCGATGGGAAGAAAACAGCAACGCCTGGCAGAGCTCCGGTGAAGCAGCAGCTGAACAAAAAGGGGTAAAGGTGTTCCTCATGGCCGGCAGGATGTGTCTGTGTGCTCTCTGTGTGCTCTCTGTGTGCTCCAGAAGCAGTGCTGGCAGCTCCTCGCCGTGCTGACGTTGCCTTGGAGCTGGCGTAGGTCTCTGATGTGCTGTGCAGCTGTGCCCTTCATTGCAGTGCTTTATTTGGGAATGATCTGTCAGTGTTGCTGAGCTCTCAGTGCTCTGTCATGCTCACATCCCCAGCTGTCTGCTGTTGTCTGGTGCTTAAAGCAGTGCTTAGTTCCCGTGTTTTAACCCAGAGGCATGATGAGCTTCTCCTTGATCAATAGTGTTTGACTTGTACCTCCCCAGCCCTGCTGCTTTCTGAACCTCTTGTGGCTTCTCAGTGTTTTCTGCCCTGCTCCCATAGCTGCAGTTGCAGGGTCAGCTGATTGTCTGGGATCTCATTCATCCTTTTGCTGTCATCCCCTCCGTGGCTCATCTGTTGATGTTCCTTTCTTTCCCCTCTGCAGTACTTGCAGTCACAGGCTCTGTCCCGTTCTCAGTGCTCTTTACACTTCCAGTTCATGTACTCTGCAGGTGCTATTATGTGGTGTCTGTGAAATGAATTCAGTGTAACAGAACCTATTTGATTTCTAGCAGTCCTCCGGCCTCCTCCATTCACATCTGTCAAACCATTATCCTTTATTTGCAGCACTTAGCAGTTCTTAATCCTCAGAGTCCTATCCAAATGATTTGAACAGGTTTCCTCTGTTACCGTGGCGTTCCCTAACCTATTTCTGAATGCATCTTTCCTCTGCTTTAAACAGTTGACTAGAATAATGTTTCTACTTTACCTTCTACCCAGTAGTCTGGGGGATTCTGTGTAGTGTGCTGTCTTTACACGGCATCTCTATTTCTGCTACTCTATTTGCATAATTCTGCTTTTATTACTTAATTTCCTTAATCCTTTCAGCACTGTACCACTGTAAATCCCAGATGCTGTTTCTTTCATGGTTTTTATTATGGAATTTAACTTCTTAAAAAAGCACTTAAGGGTAATCCCTGGGAGCTCAGCTGTTTGCAGTAGTGGTTTGTGAAGCTGACTCGAGCATTGCACAGGGGTGCAGCCTCATGAGAAGATGTGAAAATAAGCTGAACATTGCTTTAAGTGGGATTTGGAAAACTTACTGCTGCGTGGTTGCTTATGCTCCTCACCCCAGTGCTGCTGTATTGCTGAGAGTGGGTGTAATGCCAGGACTCAGTGATTTGCACATCTTTGTTTCTGATAACTTACCTGGTGTAGTGATAAATCACAGGATGCAGCATTCAGGATGGGGAGAGTCATGCTCTGTCCTGTCGCCTTACATCATCTTGCTTTTACGCCTGAAGCATCATGCTCTCAAAGCTTGTGTTGCAAGAAGGACTCATTCCCTTAATTCCTTTACACCACATGCCCCGATTCAGCATGAAGTGTCCTTTGGAATAAGTACCATAAGCTGCATGACCCTTATTCCTGTGGGGTCTGATTTCTCCTTTACTAGAGTTTGGTATGCTTTCTCACTGATCTTGATCATACTAGAACTGGCCTGCTCTTGTGACTACCCAGGTCAGTGAGAAAGTCCTAACTTTGGTCTCACCTTTCAGTGTATCACTCAAGAGTGCATGAGCTGGGTAAGGAGAAGAGGATCATTATGTGATGTGTGAAAACATGGAAATAGGAATAATTATTCACTGATAACCACTGTACAGTGGTAGGTTTTCATTTGGTACAGTGAGGTTTTGATGCTTTGGAGCTAGATTAAAGCATGCAGATGTTTTCTGTAGGATTAATTCAGTTACACATTTATGAGTGAGTTGGTTGTAGTGTTCACACCTGGCTTTTGATACCTACAGCCTCCATGAAGTCTGGTGTTTTGTCACTGTGTTCTCTAGAGGGTCTCTCTGACCTTCTGAGATGTTAGTCTGGGTCTCTTTCTGCCCTCTGCTTCTTACAAGTATGTTTTTTCCCTCTTTCAGGCCAGTGGAGATGTCTGCCAAGAAACCCATGCCTTTTCTGCGACAAGTTGTCCCTGTTACAAAGAAGGTGGGTGCTCTTTCTCCCCACTTCAGGCACTGACTGTGTTTAGTGATGCTGAGGGGCACAGATGTGGTGATGGTGCTGCGGAAGGAGGCAAAGGCTGTTTGTGGAGGATAGGTCTTAGCTAGCAGCCTGCTGAACACGGGTGATGGTAGCATGTCTCTGGGAAGAGCAGAAGATGGGATGCAGGGGAGGCTGCTGCTTTGACCTTATGTTGGCCCTTTGAGAATAAGCAGGATATTAACAGAGTAATCTGGTTCTGACTCTTGCCTCTGCCTTCAGGTCCACAGAGACCCTCGATTTGATGACCTGTCTGGAGAGTATAACCCTGAAATATTTATGAAGACGTACGGCTTCCTGGACACCATCAAGAAGCAGGAGAAGGAAGTAATGCCTTGTGCCTGTCCTTGGCCAGAAGAAACTTGCTTGGCAGGGGTGGCAGAAGCAAAAGGCAGAAGCCTTTTGCAATGGAGCTGGCAGGCAGGCAGTGACGCAGCTTTCTGCTCTCTTTTCCAGATGGTTCAGAAGCAGCTGAAAAAATGCCGGAATATGGAACAGAAGGAGAAACTGCAGCAGCTCCTGAACCGCATGGTGAGTTTGGTGCAGCATCCCCTCTGTTAGGCAGTGCACTGATAGAGAGGATGTGTGACCTGAGGTCTGCCTAGACACTTGCTGACATGGGCCATCCATTCTGTACAGACACAGCAAGAACAGGCACAGAAAAAACAGCAAAAACAGAGGGAAAGGGAGCTGACTTTGAAAAGACAGCAACGGGAGCTGGCCAAGCAGGGAAAGAAACCCTTCTTCCTAAAGAAGTGTAAGTACACGGTGTGAACATATTGCAGGAAGACCTGGAGGAGGGTACTGCTGACAGCAGTGCAAGCTCTGGAGATGAGCTGTCCATAAGCTTCGAGCTGTGGAGGGACTGTGGTGCTGGCACTCAAGTGATAAGCCAAGCTTGGTGCTCAGCAGGAGGAAGCAAGAAGGTGTGTAGAGATAACTCAGCTTGGATCTGAAACCTTGCTCCTCTCTCCTTCACAGCTGAGAAACGGAAATTGGAGCTAGCAGAGAAGTATGCAGAGCTAAAGAGGAGTGGAAAGCTGGAGAGCTTCCTGAACAAGAAAAGAAAGAGGAATGCTGTCAAAGATAAGCGCCGTTTGCCCACACAGAAGAACCTGTGACTGCTGCACAGACGTGCTGTTACCTGGAGAGGTGGTGCTGGCACTGGGATGCACTCTGGCCAGGCCTGGAAGATGGCAGCCTCTCCTCTCATTTTCTGCCTTCTGCTGTAGTGATGCTGTTAGGCAGCGAAGTCTGAACAGGAAAAAAATGTGCTTTCGGTAGCTGAAGAGACCCCTGCACTTGTGTTTTACATCATATCTGGGTGGTGACAAGCCTGTCATGCAGATGCATATGGTGCTGATCAGTTTCTGCACCTGCTCTGCCTGTAGCTAGGAGAGCTCAGACTGTGCCCTGCACTGCTGGCTCTTCTCCATGTCTTACTGGGTCCCAATGAAAAGGGCATCAGGTGGGAGGGTAATGATCTGGTCTGCTCAGAGCAGGGCCAGCTCTGCGTTCAGACCAGGATGCTGAAAGCTTGCTTCATATGGGTTTGCAGATGTACAGGGATAAAGGGTGCTACCATTTCTGGACCCCTGTTCCACTGCTTCAAGTTCTCAAGGTGAAACTCCTTTTTCCTCCAGGAATCTTGCCTAGTTTTAGTCTGTGATCGCTGTCTTGTTCTCAATGAAGTGCCCGGCTGTGTCTTGTTAAAAACCTTGTAGTAGGTCTGAGAGGTGAGCAGGAAGAGGAGCTCCTAGATCTCCTTGAAGCCTTCGCTTCCCACGACTGAGTAAAAGCCCTCACCTCCCAGCATGGTTCTCCAGACCCCGGCAGCTTTCGTGCTCTTGACTGGAGTGAGCCCAGAGATCCAAAGTCAGGGCCCAGCTGGGTGGAGCGTCCAAATGTAGTCTGCCCAGAGCTGAGAAAGCAAAAGAGATCAGCATCCCTCTCTGGGGCTGCACCTTGGTGCCAGGGCGTGCAGCTGACTGTAGTCAGGCACTGCTGCCCAGGATCTCTCCAGCAGGGCTGCCCCTGTCTTGGCCCGTTCTCTAAAGGGCTGTTAGCATTTCTACATAACATTGATTCTGTATAAAATAAATACGTGCTTTCCTTTACTGCCACTATCACTGCTGTTATAAAGGTGTTTGCTGCAGTTTGAACTTAGAGGATGTGCTTCTCTCTGGCATTACAGCTGACCACCAACTCTGTTATTTCTCCTTGCTGCTAATGGCTCAATTTCAATGGCTGTGCTA